CTAAGGGCTCCTTCTCTAACCAACTAAGCACCAAGAACTTATCACATGACGATCCTAGTTGATGGAAATAGTGGTGAGAGTTTCGAGTTGTCTTATAATTTATCGGGCGTGTGTGCTATATGTGCCAACACTCGTTTTTTATAGACTTACTCCCAAGAGTATTTTGATCATTTCACGTGCTAGGAGCTTTTTACCATTTTTCAACAAGCATTTCAAGAGTATTTTGGTCATTTTTCAATGACCACTTGGTTTTTTTTCTTACCCCTTGTTTTTTTTAATTATTATTTTTTATAATTTTATTTAACTTCATGTATTTAGTTTGTAAATGTTATTTTAATATGTAGATTTTTATTCGATCGTAATGTTAGGCCAATGAGCCTCCTATTTATTAGGGACAAACATTCGTCTCAAGATATTTTATCTAATAATAAAAATGCAAAAAAAAAGTATGGGTGTTTTTTTTTCTTATTAGATTAATTAGGAAAAATTTAAATCAACATAATGAGTCTTCTATTTAAATAGGGACTAATGTTGTTTCGACCCACAATAAAAAAATAATAATAATAAACAAAGAGAGAACTAGCTAAGATAAATTCCACTCATTTTTAAATACTCATTTTATTTAATTAAGTTGTTTCTTGACATGCCGATCATGTTAGGATTTGAAATTAGTTTTGATAAATTAATGAGACCACGTTCCTTTCGAGATCCGATGCCGATTTAATATGATACCATAATACAAATAAAAATAATAATTTGACTTATGTAATAAATAAGTTTGGAAATAGACTTATGAGATAATTTGGCAATGTTAGCTTTATGAGATATATTTTTTAGGACTAGACCGGACGTGGTAACTTTCTCCGAAAAAGGTTCTTTTGGGTGATCGTTATCTTTTCAACTACTTACCCTAAAATTTGTAAATCCATTGTCTACCTTAGGTTTTCTAATTTTCTTTAAATACTAGATAACGAGTCTAAAAATAATTTTCTTAATTCTTTTCCCCCTTTTCACAAACAATTTGTATAATTTTTAGAGGTCCCTAAATGTCGATAGCAACACTTGTTGCCACTCTTGTTTGTGATCATATGGTGATGGTGCCTTAGCTAATAGTGTGAAGGCTTCAACAACGAGAACACGCGCGAGTTGGAATATGACACTATTTTTCATCTTGGGTAGCCATAACATAAGCCTTTCCAAGTTCGAGTAAAGATTCAATGCTCAAGATTTGAGATCAAACAATTTTATACATATCATCCAAGCTCATTAGGAAATAAAAAATCTCCTCTTCCTCGCGCATCTCCTCTATTTTTCATGTGGCTCCACGAGTATAAAACGGTATGGGTTTGAGATTTTGCAATTCACTCCATATACTTTTTAATTTTTCGTAATATGTAGAAATAACTAATCTTTTTTTGTTACAATAAGGCAATTGAATGCTTCAATTCATACATCCCGGGTGCAATATCTTGAGTAAAGCTCTTCTCGAATTATTTCATATTTCGCTAGTGGTGCTAGCATAAGTTACACATGGTTGTAATTCTTTAGAAATTGAATTAATAAGTCATGATTTGACCATCACATTGCATTGAATCCAAGATTAAAAATCCTCAAAAGTAACATTAGGTTTGGCTATCGAACCATTCACGAACCCTCGCTTTGTTCTTGGATTGAAGAGCATTGAGAAAGTTACTTCTCCAAGTAAATAATTTTCTTTATTTTCACTCAAAAGTTATGTAACAAAAATCAAATCTGAATGATATGAGAGATATAAGTAGAATGAAGAATTGACATCAACTGCGATATTTGATATATTCACAATGGACACCAAACCATCACTACAAAAAATGACAAATAGCGATAAAAATTAGCTACAAAAGTTTATCCGTCGCTAAATAGTAAGCAAATAGCGATAAAATAGCATATTTTGAAAACAACAAATGAATAACGATTCAACAACGATGCTTAATAGTGATCTGGACACTAATCCGTCTCTAAATTTGATAGTAAAATCTTCCTAGAAGTTTTAGAGATAGTTTTGTGACGGATTTATTAGAAAAAATAGCAATGGAATAGTCAATCTATTGTTAATTTCAATGTCTCGATTTAACGACGGAATAGTAAATCGTTGCAAATTTTAATGTATTGATTTAGTGATGGAATATCCATCGCTAAAGGTGAAAATTGATCAAAATTGGATAGACTTTTTGAAAGTCAAAAGTTTCAAATTTACGAAGGAATAGAAACGAAAAATCCATTTGTGATGGATCGGTGATGGCAAATCCATCACCATATGTAAAAAAGGGCGGCCAACCGTAGGAAATTGGCCGCCCATTTTGAGATGGATTAGTGGATGATATAAATGTCCGTAATTGAATAGTGACGAATCGGTGAGGGAATTGCGTTTGTCACTATTTTAAAATTTAGGTTAACTACTTTCTATAATTGAGCTACAAAATATGCAAGTATATACGTATATAAGGATGTATTAAACATAAAATATTCTATAATAAAGATAACATATTTTGTATTAAAAGTAAAATAAGTTTTCTTGAGGTGAAGTCAGTATTTTGATACACTGCAGGAAAAGTATATTTAGGATTGCAGAAGAAGAGAGTCAGAGAGAAGGGGAGAACTGCCTCTCTCCAAGCGTCAATGTTGTTCTGCTCCTTTAACAAAGGAAATAACACATTTATATAATAGCAATATAGAGGTATAATCCATATTTTTAATGCATTGGTTCAAATGGTCTCAAAACAGTGAGAAGAAAAACTCATAATTACAAGAGGATTCAACTCAATGGGTTTTACTGAAAAACCCAAATTTCATATCACATCAAATTAGATTTATTTAAAAAAAAAAAATTGAGAGTTTCAATGATGATGATGATAAAAAGCAGCAAATAGCATTACGTTGTTAAAAGTGAAAAAGAGATAAATGAAGCATATGCAAGTGTTGCTGTTTGATGATGCACACAAGAAGCCAAAACTCGAGGAGAGGACGGATCTTGACTTCCTCTAAACTCAAGATACCTTTGTATATCCTTCTAACACATCAATATTATTTGTCACTTCTATTGGTAGATAATAACCTGAATTAATTGTCATAAGATAAAATTTAGATTATTTTTTTCAAATTAATTAATTACAAAACTCTAATCTAATTCGTGGAAAATTCAGGATTCATGCTGCACGTGATTCATGGTACGTGCATGAGTAACACATTCGCAGGCTGCATAAATTAGCATATGATTCATGATTTTTGTAGCTATCAACTGTCTCATCATGTATCCTTTGATGTTGATTTTCTATATCCTATTGTCCTGCCTCGCTTAACAGAGATTTCATTAATTTCTAGCATCTTACGTAGAGGATGGTTGGTAGGAGCTGATAGCCATAGGATGGAAAAATAATTTTACTGAATAGGTTCAAGTCCAATGAACATGGAGTAAGGGTTTTTTGTTTTTTTCGGTTCTTAAATGATTTTGTTGGTGAGTTAAGCATGAATAAAACAATCAACACGATACCATGATTTTCTCAAGAAAAATAATTAGCATGATAACTTGATTTGCTTTTTTTTTTTTTTTTTTTGAAAAATATATACGTCAATCAAAGTTAAATTTTATTTTTTAAAAATTTTTAAAAATACTTTTCATATCAATTTGGTGCATTCCAATGAAATAAATTCATTTGAATGCTAGTTCCAATATATAAAAAGTTAAAGGAAAAAAAACACATTTTTTTTTTAAAATAAACACCACTAAACCAATCCCTTTAAGTTTCATGATTTTATTTTATTTTTCTATAATCATTACCGTTTACTCTTCAACTGATAAGTGTTTCGTTGATTGATAATGACTGGGGTAGAGAGCCATACATGTTGGGAAACAATCTAAATGGTATATTGAGCATCAAAAACCCAAAAGATACCTCTGCATAAAAACCACGGAAGCATATATATAATACAGAACTAGACTAATGCACTGTTAATAAATTAAGAAAAATAAAATAAAAAACAACTAAAAAAGCAAACTGAACATAGGTATATACGTCCAGGCAATTATGTATTCAAATAAAAACAGAACACCAGCTATTATGGCACCTGAGGGAGGATAGGTGCAGAAGTTCACAGACACTGTCCATTGGAAAATGAAAATGGTCTTTATATATTCATAGGCGTAGAAATTCATAAACACGGTTTTTTGGGAAATGAAAATGGCCCTTTATATTCCTAATACCACGAAGTTGTAATGATTAAGTAAATTGTAAATAAAAATGAAAAATGAACAATTTTTAAGTTTTAAGGAGATAAATTTGATCTCGGTGGGTAAAAGTTGGATGTGGAATACTGATGTAATTAAGGAACAAATTTTCATCCAGACTTGAAGGAATAAAAAGAGTTGAGGAATAAAAAAATAAAAAAAGAAAAGGAAGGGAGATTCTGCTTATAATGTCACCGTTAAAAGTTAATAAAATACCAAACAAATCAATGAATATTGCCATATCTGTTAGAAATCATCAGAACATGGTACTGCTATTGCATCATGTTTTTGGAAAACAATCTAGGGCTCTGAATGTTTTAACTGTTATTGACCTGTAAAAAGAAAACAGTTAAATGCTGACCCAGGCAACATTACTGACACCAATAAACCAAACTAAATTCCAAAACATGATTTGATTCCTTTCTCGTCCTTATCCCCCACTCATTCATTGTTCAGCACTCAGTCCGTGTTTTCATCCAATATCCACAGGCCACACATTTCTTCCTTTAAATGAGCAGTGCTTTGTACTAATTTTTTTCTTCTTTTTGGTGAATATGCTTGTTATTATTATTATTATTATGTCTATGGCTTTATAGTATTGGCACCCCACATCTAATTTTGGTCAACATAGAGATTACAGTCTTTTAATCTCTTCTTCCTCTCTGAAATTTCTCTTTGGATTTTGAAATTTTTTAGCCCCAAAATTAAGAGAGTACTGGTGTCAACTAACTAATACAAGATGGCACTTAATTTTCTATCTCCAGCTGAAATCAAGGCTATCTCTTTCTTGGATTCTACCAAATCCAATCACCTACCTAAACTTCCAGGTTTTCTTTTCTACTACTTTTTTTTTCCTTTTTCACTCTGCTTTCTGGGTTTTCTGTTTTGTTGTCAAGAAAAAAGAAGGAATTTTTTTTTTTAGAAGGTAATGAAGAAGAAAGTTGGATAATTTTGCTTTTGGGTGTCATAGAATAGGTGAAACATTTGAGAGAATTAGGAATCTTTTGCTTTTTAGTATAAAAACGACTTTTTGAGTGACTCTTCAGTTTAACCATGGATAATTTTGTTGAAGACTTTGACTTGAATTTCATTGTTTTGTGGTAGAAATGAAAAAGGTTTGAAACTTTGGTTCTTACTACAGGCGGGCTTAATTTGAGGAGGAAGGACCGAGGAGGGAGAAGAATTGAGTGTTCTGTTCAGAATCAGCCACCTCCAGCTTGGCCAGGAAGAGCTTTTCCAGAACCTGGACGCAAGACTTGGGATGGTCCTAAGCCTCTATCAATTGTTGGATCTACTGGTTCCATTGGAACTCAGGTAATTATATAATTTGGCCGTAAAAAAAACTGTCCCAATTACTGGAATCACATTTATGCTTCAAATTTCTTCTTAATTGGCTGCTGCTTTTTGAATATTTTGAAAGAGAGAGAGCCAATGAGGCAGAAAAGCTCATGGGATAGAAGGTTTATCTAACATGTGTTCTGCTTGAGAACATTCTCTTTAAAAGAAGCGGGGAGGGTCACTCTTAGTTTTCACTTTATGATAATTTAATTTTGAATAAATAGAGCCTTTATTCAAGTTGGGTACCCTTACTTTTTATTAGGTCAATTGCTTAACCAAGAATAATTCTCATTCTTTAATGTGCATTGTCTTTGTTTTTTTCCTCAGATTTTCCCTTTTTTCTTCTCTTTTCAATATTTGTTTTTACGTATTCAATTTGAAAAAAATAAATATATAAGGCTGTGTAAACATGTTCTAGCCATTCATGTTGGTTCATTTGTTTATCTTGCAGACATTGGATATAGTAGCGGAGAATCCAGATAAATTCACAGTTGTGGCACTTGCAGCTGGTTCAAATGTAACTCTTCTTGCTGATCAGGTACCGTCGCTTTGATGTTGTAAAGAGCTTGCAATATCTTGATTATCATATTATGTGCTTTGAACAGTGTGATTCCCAATCCATTCTTTACTTAGTTTTAGAACTGATGGTAGGGATAATTATCTTAGCTACTATCTTTACCTGTTTTGTTTTAGGAGATCAAGACTTTAAGAAAATGAATCAGATTTTGGTCTCATTAACTGTGTCTTTGTTTTTTTTTCTTTTTTTGGTTTTACAGGTGAGGACATTCAAGCCTCAACTGGTTGCTGTTAGAAATGAGTCATTAGTTGATGAACTCATAGAGGCACTGGCAGATGTTGAGGAAAAGCCTGAGATTATTCCTGGGGAGCAAGGAGTTGTAGAGGTAGAATGACATCACATCTCCTTCTTTCAGTTTGTTTGGCTGGTGAAGTTCTTGTTATTAATTACCTATGACTTCTTTTCAGGTTGCTCGTCATCCAGATGCTGTCAGCGTAGTTACTGGAATAGTAGGTTGTGCAGGCCTAAAGGTGAAACCACAATTCTGATTGATCATTCTCAGTTATTCATTTTGCACCATATGATCCAGAATATCTAAAATCTTTCTCAGTCTGGGATTTCATATGAGAGGGATAATGTAAAGTGAGATCCTGATGTTGGGCTTCAATATGATGTGGGCATGGTTGCATAAATCCTCCACTCATATTGATGGAGGGCTTTTAATTTAGGAAAAATTTTGCTTGGTTTTTGAAAGTGTGATTTTGTGCTTGCATCTTTTTATATCTTTCACTAAAGATGACGGTTTTTTTTTTTTTTTTTTTTTTTTTTTAACTATTTTATGAACCATCAAGTTACTTGTTGAGGATTTTAATTAAGTAACAAGAGGACAACTAATGTTTGTCAATTATTACTTACACTAAACTAATCAACTATAGTTTCTCTTTTAACCTCTTTTAGCCTACGGTTGCTGCGATAGAAGCAGGAAAAGACATATGCTTGGCTAATAAAGAGACATTAATTGCTGGAGGTCCTTTTGTCCTCCCTCTTGCTCAGAAATATAATGTAAAAATTCTTCCAGCTGATTCTGAACATTCTGCCATTTTTCAGGTATGAAAATATACCAATGCTGATAGTTAAAGCTTTTCTGTTTACACATAGATCTCAAATACTTCTGCTAATTTTCTGAGCTCTAATTGGCAGTTCTTATCTATAGCATTTTCATGATCTTTGATCATTCTGTTATTCAATATAGTCAATTCCATTTCTGTTAAATAGATAGAACTTAAAATATATATCCTTTCTTCAGTGTATTCAAGGCCTGCCTGAGGGTGCATTGCGGCGCATCATTTTAACTGCTTCTGGTGGGGCTTTCAGGTGTGAATCATAATTTGATCTACAATCTTCTAGTTCTGAAATTGAAATCTGAATGGGGCTTCGGTATTTTCCTTGGATGTATTTTCTGATTGATTATATTTCAGAACTATAGATGTGTTCAGTAATTTGAAAAGTTTTTGGTGCAGAAGACCTGTTTTCTTGGGTTCAAGAACCTTTAACTTGATTTACTTGCACCTCTATCTTCGCACCTGTTTTCTCTTAACCTGCGAAGCTAACTTAAATTGACATCACTATATTGTCAGCACAGACATCTCATTAACTAATATATCTTGTACAGCTTAAGTTTTATATGGTTTTAGAATTTCATACTGTCGAAGGATAATAAGTTTATTGTGAAGCAAACAACTGATATGTCTCATCTATTTCTTTTTAATGACCGATTCTGGGATGTTTCAGCTTCATCTTAAACTGTGCAAAAATTATAAGAATCTGGTTTTAACTATTTGGTAATTTCCTTGGTGATCACAGGGATTTGCCTGTTGAAAAATTGAAAGAAGTTAAAGTAGCTGATGCTTTGAAGCATCCCAACTGGAGTATGGGTAAAAAGATTACTGTAGACTCTGCTACCCTTTTCAACAAGGTTCGTTTGTATTACCGTCTTGATTCTGAATTGCAGTCACCATTTACTGTGGATATATTTCTGGAATATGGGTAAGAAGGTTACAATTATTTATTTGTTTTTGTTTTGGCAGGGTTTAGAAGTCATTGAAGCCCACTATTTGTTTGGAGCAGAATATGATAATGTTGATATCGTAATTCATCCACAGTCTATAATACATTCAATGATTGAAACACAGGTCTGACTCTAGAACTTGTTAGCTGGCTTCCCCTAATTTTTTGCACTTTCCAGTAGCGGATCAATAGTCCTTTTAGAATGTCTAGAGACTCTGGACTATATACTGGACATACGCAAATTTGTTCTTTCCTCATCTTTGTATTGCCTCGTTTCTTCCCAGGATTCATCTGTTCTCGCACAGTTGGGGTGGCCTGATATGCGCTTGCCTATCCTTTACACAATGTCATGGCCAGACAGAGTTTACTGTTCTGAAACAACATGGCCTCGCCTTGATCTTTGCAAGTAACTTTTTTCCCTTTCAAACTAGTGCTTTAGCACTTCCTCTTCGTTTATTTGTTTTCGTTTTCGTTTTTTTTTTCCTTTTTTGGATATGATAGCCAATCCAATTATGAAACTTCTCAACGCAGTAGGTACTAGTTATTTATTTCATGGCGACGTCAACCATAAGTCTTTTGTGAATCAGTCTCTTCCCAGACATGATTGGATAAGCTGTATCCCTTTACATTCTAGCTGAGCCAAAGTGTTACAATATGGAAATTGATATTGTTCTAGAAACAGAAACATGTCGACTGCTCTTTTTTTAATTATTTGTTTATATAACATTCTAAATTAAATGGATGATACAGGCTTGGATCACTAACTTTTAAAGCTCCCGACAATGTAAAATACCCATCTATGGATCTTGCCTATGCTGCTGGACGGGCTGGAGGCACCATGACAGGAGTCCTCAGTGCTGCTAATGAGAAAGCTGTAGAAATGTTCATTGATGAGAAGTACGTATTCATGTTGGCATTGCTTAAATCTAAACTATGCTTATGATAAAAACAGTTGTAACAGCACCTTTTTACTGGATAGCTACTTTCAGGAGGCCTTAATTAGTTAATTGTTTTGCTTATTCTTATGGTAAATAATGGTGTGTCGTACATAAAATGTCAAAAATACTGTAGCTGTGATTTTAAGAAGCTGCACTATGTCAATTGATGCATTAGATGTTTGTGAGGCATTGTCCGTTCCATTTGTTTACTTGTTCATTGTTTCTCCATAATGTGTACTAACTAGTGTGCCCTTGTGGGTTGTTTGAATCCCGAGCTAACGAATAGTTTACCTGTTATTCTTTTCAGGATAAGCTATCTTGACATTTTCAAGGTTGTGGAGCGAACATGTGAGAAGCATCGAGCAGAATTAGTGGTCTCACCCTCTCTGGAGGAAATTATACATTATGACTTGTGGGCGCGAGACTATGCTGCTAGCTTGCAAACCTCTTCTGGTCCAAGACCTGTTTTTGCTTGATTGACCGCATGCCGATGCATGATGAGTAAGCAACTAATTTTGGGGCTGGCAAGACTTGCTGTATTCCTGCCAAAACTGGCATTCTTATTGCGGTTCGGGGGGAATTGATTAGCCGTATGATATAAATATCGAAATACGTAGCTAGAATATGCCCCCCTTTAAATAGATTCTGATCGAATAAATGGGTTCCTTACATGATTGAAGACTCTTGAAAGTTATGGCAATAATTTCCAAAGGAAATGAGGATAAGAAATGCTTTTTCACTAAAGAGATGAAAAATAAAGATCTCTCTATGGTTTTGCACCCTTCTCGAGAAAATAAACCAAAATGAGCATTGCATATAGTATTCCAATCCAAAGTTCTTGGGCTGGTTGGCATCCTTCCCAGGTCTAGTTGTTGGGCTTCTTTACCCAAGAGACTTTGTAATCTAGTAATTAAGGCTCTTGGTTTAACGCAAATTAGTTTGCAGGTGACTCTAGATCCATGTTCACGGAAATCTACGTCCATGTAAATCAATAAATTAAGGGTCCCAAGTCAAAGTCGTATGTTTTGAATGTCAAAGTCAGGCAAGTTGACATGGGAGAAATCGACATGAAAGAGGTAAAGCAAAGAAAAGGACGAGTTGATGAGTAATAGCTCAACTCTTATTGGTGTACGTTTTCCGAGGAGTCGATGTGTGATAGCTTAACTATGATTGGTGTACGTTTTCTGAGAAGTCGATGACTAATAGCTTAACTTGTATCGGTTTCTGTTTTCTTCTAAAGAGGTTCCGAATTCAAATTTCTTTTAGAGAGAAAAAATAAAATAAAGCCGAAGGCTTTTATGATCGAGGCCGTTCTATACGTATGGTTAGTGTCAAATGACATTCACTGAATTATGGAAAAAGAATATATAGAATTGTAGAAAGAGGAAATAGAATATTTTGTATTTATATAATCCAAGGAGTTTTCATTCAATAATTATATCTTAATTGATTCAATTTTATATTTATAGAATGATAGGTTTTAATCTATCTTTCTTTTAATTTTTTTGGGATGAGTTTTCAACCCGCTTTATATCCTTTATTGAGTCAATTTTATACTTATACAATAACTAGAGTTTTTAATCAATTCTTTTCTTAATTTTTTCAGTTCAAATAAAAGAATCAGCTTATGCTTATAACTTAATATTATACAAATAATAGCAACCCTACTATGAGAGGGGTCATAAAAAAGAGAGAGCCAAGGAGACAATGGTTCCAAAGTGTTGTATTTAATTTTTAGTTTTTTTATTTTCTAGCAATGAGATATTAAGCTATTACATCATGCACAACTACCATAATTACAATCATTATTATCGGTACTATCAATAAATCTTTATTTTTATTGTCCCTTATCACCACTACCACCACCACTAATATCATAACTTTTCACGTTACAAAAAAAAAAAAAAAAAAAAAAAAAAAAAAAAAAACATCAAACATTATACCGTTGCTATTTTTTCTACTATACCTTCACACTCAATTGCATTGTAGACTTTGATCCATATACACTATTTATTTTAATACTCATGTTATTATTGCTTTTTAGTCCACATGTCGTGTCGATGAAAGCCTACAGGAGCACAAAAAAGAGTCGCCACTTAGTTATTGGAGAGAACTAGAAAACTCTAAAAATAAACTAAGTGTGTAAGATATTTGGATAATATGAGAAATATCTAACATCACCATCATTCCGTCCTACCCGAGGTAGATCGCATTGAATGCATGTGAAAATATAAGACCGATTTTACTATATTATATTTCTATGCCTATTTGAGTGAATTTATTTTGTTAGAATGAAATGATAAGATTAATTCTATGTTTAGGACAGCTTAAAGGCCTTTACCCATACTTAAAGGAGACATGAGAATAGAGATTGAAATTTTGGCTAATCCCTATCAATTGTAAACCTATATCAACAAATATGTGATTCTCTAATGATTGGGAGCCTATATTGACATGATTAGGAAGTCACCGATGACTTCAAATCATGAGTTTAGGAAGCCACTAAAGACTTTATTACATAAGTCGAAGCTATCGATGGCTTCAATTCATATAATAACAAGATATTTATAAATGTTTGAAAGCCACCAATGGCTTCGTCCACACAAGTAGAAAGCCATTAAAGACTTTCAATCATAAGTTTTTGAAGCCACAAATGACTTCATCACATAAGTGGGAAGCCATCGATGGTTTTGTTTTGACAAATAGTAAGTTATTTAAAAATGTTTGAGAGCCAACAACGATTTCATCCACATAAGTGAAAAATCACTACTAGCTTTGTTTTTCCGAATAAAAAGATGAAGCCACTAGTTACTTCAAAGCACAACATTAAGGAAGCCACCAACGACTTCGTCCACACAAGTGGAAAGCCATTAATGACTTCATTCATAAAATTTAGGAAGTCATTGATGACTTTAAATCACATCAATGAGGAAGCTATCGATAACTTTATCCACATAAATAGAAAGCCATCACGCCTTTGTTTTATCGAACATAAAATAGCTAAACAGACTTTGGAAGCCATTAACGACTTTGTCCATATAAGTGGGAAGCCACATATGGTTTCATTTTAATGAACAAAAAATAGCTAAATAGTTTTGAAAGCCATTGGTGGCTTCATCCATATTGGTGGGATTGATGACTTCATTTCAATCAAATAGAAAAAAGTTCAAAAGCCATTGGAGGCTTTGTCTATATAGATGGGAAGCCACCAATGGCTTCATTTCAAATAGATGAAAATTAAATAAAATGGTATGGAAGCTACTAGCCGCTTCCCACCTATACGAATTTATCCACATAGGTGACTAGTTACTAACAACTTCATTTCAAGTGAATATAAATCAAATAAAATGATGTGGAAGCCACTAGCGGCTTTGTTCATATTGGTGAGAAGCCACTAATGACTAGATTTCAAATAGACAGAGATCAAATAAAATGATGTGAAAATCACCGATGCCTTCATTCATATAGGTGAAAAGCCATTAATAGCTTTATTTTAAAAGGGTAGAAATCAAATAAAATAATATGAAAGCCATTAATAGCTTTGTCCACATAGATAGGAAGCCACTAATTAACGATTTCTTTTCAATTGCATAGAAAATTAGGTAATCATTCATTGGATATGAATATCACGTATTCGGCATGTCAAACCTAAAATATCTTATCAATCACATCATTTAACACAAACATGAGCATCGCATTTAAATACAAACATCTAGACCAACATTTATCTTAGATACACCATTGAAATTAAAATCCAATCTTGTCCCTATAGCTCTATCGTAGAGCATTGATCAATATACTATATTTCACCCCAAAATACTCGAGGTCTTTGATCCTTTCAGATTTGAACACAACGGTGTATCTAATAACACTTCAAATCTCAAACATAATAAAAAAAGACATTTCATATTTCAATCATCCATAACATAATACTTTCATTATTTAATTGACCATTTTTAAGTAGTCTAGATATGTTCAAAAATTACCCAAATATCATGAGAAGTTACAAATCCCCCTTTCGAATCAATTTTACTTCCTTCAATCTCGATGAAGAGTGATTATTCGATCAACCGAAAAAGATGAAGCAATAATTTATGAGCTTCCTTTGGTTTTGTTTTGTTCGATCCAATATTTCATAATAGGAATCAGTTATGTTTTGTCTAGTCTTGCAAACAAACAAACTATTCTATCTAGTTTCTGGTCTACTACCAATAAACAAAAAAAGTACCAAATTACTAGTCTACAATCTCATGTTGTTCTTGTCAAACGATCCGTAAAGTCTAAACATTTCATTTTTTTTTTTTTTTGTCATTTAATGTTCATTATCCACACAAAGCAAATTGTATTTTTTTCTTGTAGTTTTGTTCTCTCTAAAAGTTCTAATTGCTAATTCCAAGGTTGATATGTTTGGTGAATCTCGATTGGGTGTTTTGAATAGAAAAAAATAAGGGCTTGTTGACTAGTTAGTGGTTTTTCCGGTGGTTTTGGTAGAGGTTCTCGAGTGGTGATGGCTTCGGTATGGCTAGGTTGGTGTTTGGATGGTGGTGTTTTGGATGGAGTGGTGATAGTGTGGATTTATGATAAAGTGGGCAATTGAGTCTTGGGTGATTTAATGGTTAGATGATGTTGTTTTATATGGTGGAAGGTTATGGTGAAGGAGGATGAGTTTCAAGTTATGGTAGCTTGAGTGATTTAGAAGGTGGCTCGACATCTTGAAGAACTTTAGGTAAGTTGTTGCCATGCTTAATAACTACTATGGGTGGTGTCCAATAGCTTTTGGTGGTTAGAGATGATGGTTTTTTGGATGAGAGAAAGAAGATGGCTAGGGTTTCGAGTGAGAGGAAGAAGATAGAAGGATGATGACTAATCGAGTGGTAAGGCTATGGTGTCTAGTGGATAGGTCCGGTCAAAGATGATGGTGTTTTAGGTGAAAGGAAGAAGATGAAATGCATGGCTTAAAAAATGGAGGGGGTGGTAATTGGTGTAGTTGTTTGGGCTAGAGATGCTCAATGGAGGAGGGTTAGTGTGTTTTGGTTAGAGTGGGTACAAATTTCAATTGAAAGAAAAGAGGGAAAAAAGGTGAAATGGTGGTTGCATATTTTGTGCTTGAAGAGGGTGATGAACAAGTGCCACCCTTCTAAAAATGAAAGGAGATGGGTATTTATAGAAGAAAATTTAAGGTTTTGGATAAACATCAATTTTGGTCCTTGGCACCTTTGTGTTTGTCAATTTTGGTGCTATTTTACTAATTTGAACTTCAATGGCACCCCATAATTGTACTTAATCCGGATCTTTTCTTTAAATTTCTTTCAATTATACCATTTCCATCTTTTAATTAAGGGTATGGAGTTTTGAACTTTTCAATTACACCCTCAATTAGTATTTTAGGTTCCCAAACTTCTTTTTTTTTAATTAGACCCCAAGAAAATAATTTTTAGCCACTTATTTTAATTGACTTCTTTTTTATTTTTTTATT